GTTTAGTTCTTATTGTCTTACAATCTTTTTATTTCGTTTGCATTTAGATTTTGTGATACCAAAACCAAACCCCCCCCCCCATTTCGCTTGTTCTACACGATTTAAGTTTTGATTGGTTCGTACTGAAAGCTTAAAATTTTTGTGGTTAGACCCCTAAGTGCTATAACGCACATCTGTGCACTTGCAGATATTTAGAGTTATAAATTTAAAACGTGAAGTTAGAAGCAATCTTTGATTCTCTTAGCATCAAATTTTGGCTCCGTTGCCGAGGATTTTGATTTCTTTCATTGCTATCTTTGCTTAATTCTATAGAACTCTTTCTACTTTTTTGTTTTTTGTTTTTTGATTTTTCAGGTACTTTCTCGATAAGGGATCGAGAACATATCCCTGATCCTCTCTCTGGAGAGCACCCTTTTCTAGATAATGATCCATCTGATGACGAGATTAATGACCCAATCGATGATGCCAATGAAGTGATTGGAGAACCAAAAAATGCCAAGAAGAAAGAACAACTGATTGGAGAATGCGACGCGGCCCAAAAATTCTTCGCAGATAGACGTGTAATTTGACCACCTTTGCCTAAGGATGGCGACTCTGAAGCTACATTAGTTATCTCAAACAGTATAATGGTTGTCCCACAGAACACCCAATAGATCACATTGATAACTTTAAAGATCTGTGTTCAACCATAATGAGAAATACAGATTAAGATATGTGCGTCCTTTTTCCATTATCTGTAACTAGTAGAGCTAGTAAATGGCAAACCTTGTCACATGCATCCATAAAAACGTGGAAAGAGTGTAGAGAGGCTTTTCTAAGTCACTTTTACACTAGAGATCGTTTCAATCTCTTAAGGGACAAGATACAAAAATTTCAGCAGAAGGACATAGAGGACCTCTACGACGCTTGGGATAGATTCAGAGACTACCAGAGAGATTTTCCACACCATGGGTTCTCCGAGGAGCGTTTAATGACCATCTTCTACCATAGAGTTAATGAAGAACTGAAGTTTTCTTTTGATACCTCTAGAAATGAAACTTTTCCACTAGATCTGTAGATGAGGCTCACGCCTATATCACTAATCTAGCTGGAAGTATCAGAAATAGAAGGCTTCTAATCCAATCTAGATGTCCTAAGATCAAGGAAGAAGAATCATCTGCTGATAAAAAAATGTCTAAAACAGATTTTGGAATGTCTCAAGATGATCCTAAGTAAGCCTGGTTCAATTCATAACCCTGATGATGGAAGCAACCATAATGAGCCTCACATTGAGAAGATGAACAACTCTGAGGTGAAAAATAACTTCCAAACCCAGGAGATGATGCAGACTGCTGATGTTTGCCAGATTGAAGAGGCTGAGAAGAATCAACTCCACCAGGGGTGTGAGCCTCTCAACCGCGGCAAAGCTGGCATCCACCACGGGTGAGAAGCTTTTGACTGCGGCCAAGAAGGACTCCACCGCAGCCGCGACTCCTTTACCCGCGGCCAGCCTGATTTTCAATCTCCTTTCCAACCTTATTTCGAGCAAACCCAATTTGATCAATCCAATCCGGCATTCCCTCCTTACTATCCTTTTTCCAAGATTGATGAACTTAAAAAAGAGGTTAACAGACTCGAAAAGGAGATGGAGATTCGATCAGAAAGACATGAGGATGCTATTAACAAGGTCTCCACCCTTTTTCTTCTTCAGATTAGTAATGAATCAAAAGAAACGAATTCTTCCGTTAATGATCTTGATGAACCTTTTTCTGAAAAATGAATGAATTGGAGACCTCTGATCACTCAAAGGAAATTACCCTCAGGAGTGGTTTAAGAAACCAGAGTAACCAAAAGATTTCGAGGAATGAGAAAAAGGAGGAGTTTCAGCTGAAAGTGAACGTGCTGTAGTGATCGAAAGAGAGGAAGAAAAGGAAAAAAGAAGACATTCCTCAAGAAATTCCTGAAGAAGAACCTATACCGCCTCCGCATACTCGCGTCTACAAGCCTAAACCACCTTACCCACGAGCCGTGAAAGTACCAAAGAAAAAGAAAGAAAGGGCTGAGCTAAAAGAGCTAATCGAGCAATTAACTGTGAGATTGCCTTTTATTGAAGTTTGTGCAATGATACCTGCTCTAAGGAAGTACATGAAAGGCATTCTAGCAAATTCTCTAGCATTAGAAGAAGGCTTTATGATGATAACTCATGAATGTAGTTCCATCCTACAAAACCATATCCCTTAGAAGAAGAAGAAGATCTGGGAAGTTTTGTACTCTCTTGCACAATCAAGAATATGACTTTCGAACGTTCTCTATGGGATTTGGGATCAAGCATCAACATGATGTCACTCTCAGTTGCAAAACGTTAAGGATATCATACTTTCCAGCCCAAAAAAATTTCACTGATTCTTGTCGATCGATCAATCAGATCCCCGGAAGGAGTCCTGGTTTATGTATCAGTAATGATAGGAGAAAACTATATTCTGACTAATTTCGTAGTGCTTGAAGTAGAAAGGGAGCCCAATATGATCCTCTCATACTTGGTAGACCATTCTTATCAACTACAGGGGCAATAATAAATGTTCCGGAAGAAAAGATAGATCTCCACCTACGCAGCCTGGTTATGCAGTTTGATATGAACAAAGATCTTGGGAAATTAACTTTAGATGGCAGAATTTGCTGTATTGATGAGTTTAATGAGATCACTGAAGGAGTTTATGAAGAAAATTTTCTTAACGATCCCTTAAAAATCATCCTCACAACCACAAATGATGAGCGCAGCCTGCTTGAAGAAGTTTCGAAAGAGTGTGCGCAGATGCTTGATAAATCCGAGGATTACGCGAAACTTATGAACTACCTCGACCTGAATGAGGAAACTCATATCCCTACTCCTCCAAAAGATACCTTGGCAGCTATAATAGACCCATGGAGCAAGCTCAAAGCCCCAAAAGTCGAGCGTAAACCTCTTCCTGATGGACTCAAGTATGCTTTTCTTGGACCAAACTCAACTTATTATGTCATCATAAATTCTGGTCTAAGTAGAGCTGAAACTGCTATGATGTTGAAATATCATTTTCCCTTATCCTTCATTAATCAAATGCTAGAAAGATTAGCAATTCATGAATACTACCGTTTTCTGGACGGTTACTCTGGATTTTTCCAAATTCCTATTAGGCCAGAAGATCAAAAAAAGACGACATTCACCAATCCATACGGAAATGTTTCCTACCGGCGAATGCCTTTTGGATTGTGTAATGCACCTGCAACCTTTCAGCGATGCATGATGTCTATTTTCACCAATTTTATAGAAGATTTCATGAAGGTCTTCATGGATGATTTCTCTGTCTATGGATCCTCTTTTGAAAAATGCTTGGCAAACTTAGGGAAAGTTCTGCAGCGTTGTGAAGACAAGCATCTTGTCCTAAACTGGGAAAAATGTCACTTCATAGTTCGAGAAAGAATTGTGCTTGGACATAAAATATCTAGTAAAGGTATTGAAGTTGATAAAGTAAAAATTGAAGTCATGACTAGTCTACAACCTCCAACTAATGCGAAGGGTATCTGAAGTTTCTTGGGACATGCCGGATTTTATAGGCGATTTATAAAAGACTTCTCTGAAATTGGTAGGCCTCTTACACGTCTACAATGCAAAGAAACGAACTTTGAGTTTGATGATGAATGCTTAGCAGCGTTCCATAAGATCAAAAACGCTCTTGTTTTTGCTCCAGTTGTGCAGCCACCCGATTGGGAACAACCATTCAAAATCATGTGTGATGCAAGTGATTTTGCAGTCGGAGTTGTGCTTGGTGAGCGGAAAGAAAAGAAACTGCACGCAATCTACTATGCGAGTAGAACTTTGGATGAAGCTCAATGCAATTATGCGACTACGGAGAAGGAGCTCTTAGATGTCGTTTTTGCATCTGAGAAGTTTCGATCTTATCTTGTCGGGTCTAAGGTCCTCATTCATACCGACCATGCTGCAATCAAGTATCTCATGTCTCAGAAAGATGTCAAACCAAGGCTGATCATATGGATACTCTTGCTGCAAGAGTTTAATATTGAAATCCGAGATCGGAAAAGAGCAGATTATGGAGTAGCAAATCATCTTTCTAGAATTTGAGTGGAAGAGAAACTCCCTTTGAATTATATTTTTCCAGAAGAAAATGTCTACGCTATAGATACTATACCTATTATCGTGCAAGAAAAGTCATCCTAACCTCCTATGCGACAGTCAGATGCTGTTGACACCCCATGGTTTAGGCACATAGCGAGTTACTTAGCCGTAGACATCGAACCTCCACATTTTTTTGCTATAGAAAGAAGAAATTATTGAGGGAAGTTCGGCACTATTTATGGGATGAACCTTTTCTCTATAAGAGATGTGTAGATGTTTTATTCAGAAAGTATGTCGCCGGAGAAGAAATGGAAGGAATACTGTTTGGATGCCATAGTTCAGCATATGCAGGACATTTTGCGATACTATACCTATTATCGTGCAAGAAAAGTCATCCTAACCTCCTATGCGACAGTCAGATGCTGTTGACACCCCATGGTTTAGGCACATAGCGAGTTACTTAGCCGTAGACATCGAACCTCCACATTTTTTTGCTATAGAAAGAAGAAATTATTGAGGGAAGTTCGGCACTATTTATGGGATGAACCTTTTCTCTATAAGAGATGTGTAGATGTTTTATTCAGAAAGTATGTCGCCGAAGAAGAAATGGAAGGAATACTGTTTGGATGCCATAGTTCAACATATGCAGGACATTTTGCAACTTGTAAATCAGTTTCCAAGGTCATTCAAGCGGGTTTCTGGTGGCCTACTATGTTCAAAGACACTCATGCCTACATCTCATGTTGTTATTCATGCCAACGAATGGGCAATATCATTAAGAGGAATGAGATGCCTCAAAACTTCATTCTCGAAGTCAAAATCTTTGATGTAAGGGGAACTGATTTCATGGAACATTTCCAACTTCTTTTGGAAACCAATACATCTTAGTAGTGGTAGATTATGTCTCTAAATGGGTAGAAGCAGTTGCCCTACTAATAATGCAAAAGTGGTTGTAAAGCTGTTTAAATCAATCATTTTTCCTTGCTTTGGAATTCCTCAGACTGTAATAAACGATGGAGGATTCCATTTCATCAACAGAGTTTTCGAAAATCTGCTCAAAAAGAACGGGGTCATGCATAAGTTACATCCCTATATCATCCCCAGACAAGTGGACAAGTGGAAATCTCTAACAAAGAGATCAAGTCGATTCTGCAAAAGACGATCGGCGTAAATCGCAAGGATTGGTCTGAAAAACTCAAAAATGCACTTTGTGCCTATCAGACAGCATACAAAACTCATTTAGAGACAACACCGTTCAATCTTGTTTATGGGAAAGCATGTCACATTCCTGTAGAGCTCGAGTACAAAGCACAATGGACTATTAAGGAGATGAACATGAACTTTAAGGCAGCTGGAGAAAGAAGAATGCGTCAAATTCATGAGTTAGAAGAAATCAGGCAGAATGCCTATGAGAAATCCACGATATACAAGGAGAAGACGAAGGCATATCACGACAGAGGAATCATACATCGATCTTTTCCCCTAAATGACAAGGTTTTTCTTTTCACTTCTCGCCTTAAGCTTCTTCCAGGAAAGCTGCGATCAAGATGGTCTGGACCTTTGACAATAAAGGAAGTCAAACCGTATAGAGCACTCGTTCTATGGGGCAAGATGCGAGATACATTCGTCATTAACAGACAACATGTCAAACCATACCTCGCAGTAGAAGAAAGAGAATAAATGCTCTTGGCAGATCCACCAGGCTAAAGCATCATCAAAATCAAGTTAATGACTTTACGCAAGCGTTTAGTGGGAGGCAACCTACTTGTTATTTTACTTATTCCCTTTGCATTTTCTATTTTTTCTGCTTTGCTTTTGTCTTCTGTTATTTCAGATTTTAAGGCAAAGATATTAAAGGGTAAACAGGAATCACGAACCAGAAAACACATCGAGAGCCGCAGAATATCGCCAGGTAAGTACACCTAACATTCCAAATTTCAGTCCATAATTATCCCGTCCTCTCACAGATTTATCACACTGGGGGCAGTGTGATATAAGTTTGGGGGAGGATGTTCATCCCTTACTAACAAAATTTGGTTTGTTTTGAGTTTATATTTCATAAAAGATCCATCATAAAAAAAAATTCAAACGGTTTTCAAATCAGGAACACAAGACCCATGTGCTTTTAGGCTTTACATGATAGTTCTTTTTGTGGTTAGTACTAGACTAGGCGGTAGCTAGAGTACTTACACTACGAACTCCCACCAGAGGATTTCTATTCATGGAGATTTTTTCTGACAGGATATACTAGCTCATTTCACTTAAACTTAATCTTGACATCTAATTTTCTCATCATTGGATTTAGGCAGACATCATGATATACATCTAGGACATCTTTACCTTATTGCCACCACTCTTTATTGTTCTAGATGGCCAGTTCATCTTTAGCTGGTACCACACCCTTAACACAAACCTTTATGTTCAAATCTCATGCATTCTTTCTTTAGTTTGTATCGACAGACATGTGCAAAAACGCCGGAGAGGGAAGAACAACATAGTTTTCAGTCACTCAAAATAAAGTCTGAAGGAATTTAGGAAAGAAGAGTATCAGGAATCCTATCAATCTTAATGATGCCTCAAAAAGCTCATTCATAAAGGTAAATTTCGTGCCTCCTAAGACTCTACATCTAAAGGCGGTTTCCCCTTCAAAAAAAAATCGAAAAAGAATGAAAGGAGCAAATGCTATAAGTATTCAAATGTGGAGTATTGGTTTTAAAACCTGGACAAAAATCTAAGTATGGGGGAGTTATGGAAAGAACCTGAAGGAAGGAGATCAGAAATTTTAAGGCAAGAATAAAGTGACTGGAAATTGTGGATGTCAACAACTCAATCCTCTCTTGCTGTTTTGCATAATATCTTGTCTCTCCAGAAAAATGTAACCCTAGATACTGAGAACCTCACCCCTATAAAGCCATTATTTTGAATATCCAGCCTTGATTGCTTTGCTGAATCCCTTTTGATGAGAACCACTGGAAATTTTAAAAGAATGTTAAGAGCTAGTTGACTGTAAGTTATGTCTAAGTGTATAGACTTTCGCATGACGGATCAACGGACTAGTTATGTCTGTACTTTAGTGAAAAGTTTCTAGACTATACCCAAGCTTCAAAAACGTGGCCGCCTAGCCGATTAATCGGCCGCCTAGGCGCAAGTCGGTGAAGGTCCGCCGCGATTAGGTCTTGTGCGGTGTATTCGGCGGTCAACTGCATAATGGAGAAAGTCAACGCTTTTTTTTTTTTAAATTGGTGTCATAGTTGTTAAAAATCATCACAATTTTTTGGGCTTCAAAATTTTTTGGCTCATTATTTTTATAAAATTTTCAGCCCAAAAACTATTCTTCCCAAAATTAAACACTAATCAAAGAACTAAACCCTTAATCGATTGCTAAACAACCTAAATTTCATCTTAAACCTTCAAATCAGCAGAAATCCAAGAACACTGAGGCAAATCGACATCATATCAAGGTATGTAAGCTCTTAAACCTTTGATTTTATCTTCATTTCGATTTCAAAGTATGTAAGCTTTGTGTTAAACCATATTGTCGATGTTTTTTTGTTGGTTCAGATGGATAAGCCACCTCCTGCTTTGAAGTGGAACTCTCATGATGTTGGATGGGAATATGGAGTCTTAAACGACCCAAAGAATCCAGACAAAGTGAAGTGCTTGCTGTGTGGAAATGAATTTTTTGGTGGTGTGCATCGGTTAAAACTACACATTGCGCACAAAAAAGGAGTGGTGTCTTCATGTCCTGTATCGACTAAAGCTGATCAAGAGAAGTGTATGAAAGCCATTGATGAATCAAAGGAGAAGAAAAATCTGAAAAGGAAACTTGAAGAAGCTTTGAGGGCAGAAGTCAACATTAAGAAAGGAAACAATGTCGACGAGCTGGAAGAAGAGCTTGGAACTCTTAATGCTCCTCACTTCCAAGGTCCTATGGATCGGTTTGCCAGCAACATTAATCCTGAAGCTTCATTGGCTACACAGAAACGGCAGGAGAGTATTCATGATGCAATTTCAAAGGAGAAGACTCATGCTGTCCGACAATATTGTTCAAGATGGGTTTATCATGCTGCTATTTCATTCAATGCCATTGACAATGATGCTTTCAAGCTGTGTTGTGAAGCTCTTGGTCAGTTCGGACCTGGTTGGGTACCACCAAGCCAGTATCAGCTGCGTGAACCATTGCTGAATGAGGATGTACAGAGGACAAAAGAAAAGCTGAAGGTGCTGGAAGAAGAGTGGGATAGAGAAGGTTGCTCAGTGATGACGGACTCTTGGACTGATATGAAAAGGAGAAGCATCATGAACTTGTGTGTGAATTCAAGAGGAGGCACATGTTTTCTCTCATCAAAGGACACCTCTAAGGATTCTCATACAGGTGAGTACATCTTTAAATACATTGATGGTTGCATTGAAGAATTAGGAGCAACTAGAATAGTGCAAGTTGTGACTGATAATGCAAAAAACAATGTTGCTGCTGCAAAGATGCTGAAAGAGAAGAGGCCGACCATTTTTTGGAGTGGATGTGCGGCTCACACACTCGATCTGATGCTTGAGGGAGTTTCAAAGTTGCAAAATTTTGACAAAGTCATCAGCCAAGCAAAAGCAGCCACCATCTTCATCTATGCTCATCATAAGACCCTGAATATGATGAGAACCTACACAAAGAAAAGGGATATTGTGAGACCTGGAGCAACAAGATTTGCTACTTGTTTTTTGACTCTCCACAGCTTGTATGAGAAAAAAGCTCAGTTGAAGTCAATGTTCACAAGTGATGAGTGGCATGAATGCACTCATTCAAAGGCGCTGAAGGGAAAGAATGTGTTTGAGACTATTATGAGTTTTGGATTCTGGAATTCTGTGATGATGGTGTTGAAAATATTCAGCCCTTTGGTGAAGGTGCTAAGGCTGGCCGATGGAGAGAAGATACCTTCTATGGGTTTTATTTATGGCGAGATTTTAGAAGCTAGGAAGTGTATCAAGGAACCTTGTGATCATGTTGAGAGGAATTATCAGCCTGTGTTTAAGATCATTGTTGATAAGATGAAAGGTAGGTAGATTCTCCATTACATGTGGTTGCATTCTTCTTAAACCCTTATTACTTCTACAAAGACCCCACTATCCAGTTTGACATGGTCATTGTGGAAGGATTCATGAGCTGTGTGGAGACTTTTTACTATGGTAACTTTGAGAATCAAGATAAGATTATGAATCATGAACTTTGTCTCTACAAGAACAAAGTTGGTTTGTTTGGCAATCGGTTAGCACTTAAAGGTTGTGAAACCAGAGATGACAAGTTTAATCTAGGTATTTTTTTTGTTCTCATAAGTGTTCTTATTCAAATTTTAAACAATAAAATATCTTAAATTGTCACAGGAAACTGGTGGTCAACCTATGGATGTGGTGCACCAAATTTGCAGAAATTAGCAACAAGAATACTTGCATCGATCTCTAGTTCATCTGGGTGTGAAAGAAATTGGAGCTGCTTTGAATCGGTTAGTATATGACTTTACAAAGTTTTTTAAAAGTTTATATTGTAGCTGCTTTGAATTGGTTAGTGTCTTGTTTTTTTTTGCAGATCCACACAAAAAAAAAGGAATAGACTAGATGTTAGTCGGTTAAACAGTAGTCTATGTCCAGTAATGCCAAGCTATTCAACAAGCAAAAAAAATCAGAGAGCAAAACGCAGATGCCATCTTCGAAGATGGTAATGAAGACACTGTGGAAGAATGGATTGTTGGACCAAGATTGGAAGACCAAGACAGTGATGTGAACTTGGTTCTAGCCGCACAATTTCCATGAATAAGAGACATCTATGATGATGACTTCGAGTCTGAACCAGAAGATGCTGTTGACTTCGAGTTTGAACCTCATTTATAGCAAGAGGTTCCTCTGTTTCGTGACTCTCAAAACTAGTTCATCAGGTTAGTAAAAAGGTTCTTAAACTCTTTGACTTCTTCTGTTTTTTAATTATTCTAATGCACTTCTGTTGTTGTTTGTTGTATCGATGCTTCTGGTTTGTTTCATTATGCTTTTGATGTTTCTTTATGCTTTGATGAAAATTGCTTGCAATGCTTAATGCTTTTGATGTTTCATTATGTTTGATGTGTGCAATGCTCTTAAGTTAAGTGACTAGTGTTCTTTAAAACGTCTTTGATAATTTGGCAGTTTGGTTCTTAAGTTAAGTGACTAATGTGCTTTTGTTCTTAACTTATTATGTTTCATTAACAATTTTTTATTTGGTTTTAAACTTTTAACAGGTTTACTAAGTTACAAGATCAAAGACATGTAGAAGTCCAAAACACATGGTAACTTGATCATTGGAGAAAGAAAGGATGAAGATGTTGTTGTCCTTCAAGTTTTTTTTTTGTATTCTCATGATCAAGACCATTCTTCTTTTTTGTATCATCATGTGATTGGACTTTTTTTTTTCTCTTTTGAACATTTATGTCCATTTGATCTTGACTTCTTTATGCATTTCAAGTTTAAGGATGGTATTATGTTTTACATTTCATTTCATGTTTCTATATATGATAATATCAAACTAGACTTATGACTTATCACATTCTTGAACAAAATATGTGAATTTATAAAAAAACTAATGAAATTAACAAAAATAAAACAAAAGAAAAATTAATCACTGCTTAATTGTTGATTAATCAGTGATTTCCGGCCTCGACGCTCCTCAGTGACCGGGCCGCCCGCCTAGCGCCTAGCGAACATTCGAGCACTGACTATACCTGATCTGAGCATAATGATTGACTTTAGTTTAGAAGCATGGTCTCTGAGATTTGGTTAGTTCCTGCATTTTAACCCTCTTTTCTAGGGTATATCTTTGTTTGTTTGAGGACAAACAAGTGTACTCTAGGGGGAGTTGATCACCATGATTTTGACCACTTTTATGGATCACTTTCAATATCTTATGGAGGTTTTTTCACTCAGTTTTAAAGCTTTTCTAAGTGATTTCTATGTTTTAGAGTTTCGAAAGAGTTTTCAAGATATTTGGACAAAACGAGTGTACTTGGAAGCAAAAAGCACAACATTGGATAAATTTAGACCGCCGGAAGTTTGGAATCAAATGGAGGCATTCCCACCGTCTGATCATCCCCATATTTGTACACACGATAGAGGAGACAATCAGCTTTCCAATGCAAGTGGAACCAAAGAAATCTAACAGTTAGATCTCTAGATATGGTCAATGCACTGAAAGCAAATCAACACAGTCGGAAGTTGACCGGTGGCCAAAACATCATCCACCGCGGGTGCGACATTATAGACCGCGGGGAGCCTATTTCCGAGCCTCAGAAGCCGATTTTAAAACCCAAGTCATTCTCATCATTATTCCTGTTAATCCTAGGCATTCCCGAAGTCTCAAGACACTACATATACCTCTTTTAAGACATTTCGAAGGGGTGTGCCTCATTTTGTCAAGAAGCCCTAGAGAAACTCACTCGCGAAGAGGAGCCACCGAGAGGGGCACCAGGGCACCATCAGCCCTCCTTCTCTGTTCTGTTCTTCATTTCTTTCCCTTGTTTATTTTGATTTTCTGCAACTCTAAAAACTTCTATGATGTTAACTTCAACTATGTCTGAGTAGTTTTCCAGTTGGGTTTTTAAGGGATTTTTTATAGAATTTCATGTCTTGATCTTATGCTTTGTTAGATTTTGGGTTTATAATCTTCTAGGAGTTCTTCGTTCATTCTTGTTCTCTATGCTATTTCTGTTGCTAGCCGCTTAGAAACTGATATAAGTAATTAGAGCCACGAGAGTGTTGTATCAAATTGCCAGACCAAGAAGTGATCAAGCAAAGTCGCTATATGAGACGAAAGCTACTTATAGAGAATCGCGAGCGTGAATGAATTCTGTTATTAATGCATGATCTTATTCGCGGCACGAGAGCAAGAGTTAATTGCCGAGTTGAGTGATTTGTTGATTAGGGTGACGAGAGTTGGTTAATCATACACACGTCTATTCGAGTTCGGTATCCTCACTAGATGATTATCTTCATCGATTTATTTTTCTTGAGATCAGTTCACGAACCCCTGCAAAAACCCTTTAGACCCAGTGTTTAGTTCATATTGTTTTACAATCTTTTTATTTTGTTTGCATTTAGATTTAATGACACCAAAACCAACCCCCCTATTTCGCTTGTTCTACTAGATTTAAGTTTTGATTGATTCGTACTGAAAGCTAAAATTTTCTGTGGTTAGATCTCTAAGTGCTACAACGCATATCTGTGCACTTCCAGATATTTAGGGTTATAAATTTAAAACGTGAAGGTAGAAGTAACCCTTGATTCTCTTAGCATAACTATTATGTTTTGGTATCTATTTCTATTACTCTATATATTATTTGAGAAAGATTGTTAAAAAAAAAAAAAACATTAACTTGACATGTGAATTTTAAATCTGACATGACATATCATCATCATATAGTTTTTAAGACATTTAAAAAAAAAGTTTCAATTACTGGAATAATTCATTCAAATCATTTACCTAAAATTTATGTTTCACTTGATTAAATATGCATGCATAATCATATAAAATCTTTTTCATATTCTATCATTACTAAACTGAAATATATATATATATATATATATATTTGCATATATACTGTTAAATCAATATTCGTTTTTAAGTTAAAAAAGTAAATCAAGTTTTTTTAAATGTGATATATATTATTCTTACAAATCTTTTATTTAGCTGCTCCAATTTTTTTTCTTTGGTGCAAATTCTTAAGTTACATACAAATTTAGGATAATATGGTATAATCTAAAAGTTTTGCATATTAAAATTCAAGTTATAATCTGAGATTAGCATTATTTTGCATCTTCAATTTCAAATCATGTTAATTATATGTTAAATTTAAGTATAAAAAATTGCATATTCAAATCAAATTGCAAAACTGCATATTAGCAATGTTTATATAAGGGATTACGTTTAATCCAACATAGTCCAAACTAAATTATTTGGTCAACTAAATTAGGACCTAATTATGCATTTACCTAACTACTTAGATAACAGAAAAAGTGTCTTACACTAATCAATGCCTGTAGCCACGATTGTAAAAGGCCATAGATTTTAAAAATATGTAATTTAACATGATACTTTACACTAATGTTTCCTATTATTACTCATAACTAAGAATACTCTCCAGCTACTCTACATATGTCATATCAAAATCTGTGTATAACTTATTAAATTTTAAAAAATTCTGTTTTTCCTCAGAAACAACCAAGATATCATCTATATTTTTTTTTTCTCCCAGATATCACCTATATATATATATATATATATATAATGAAATATATTTAAGTATGTCGTATTAGTATATATCGAAATGGTATTCTTTTGAATATCTGGGCATACTAGAGAGTAGAGGTCAGTATTATGCGCTTAGGTAAAACCGTAAAGTAAATAATTTTTGTAAACGTATTAATCGCTTTAACTATATAAATCTAGAAATGTGTAATACCGAAGAACAAACAAAAAAAATAGTTAAAATGTTTTCAGACTAACACGTATTTTTTTTTAATTTTTATTTTACTTATTCTCTAGCTATGTGTTAATTGCAGATGTCAAATTATAATGTACATAAACCGTAATGGATCTTATATAATTAATACATGATAGTATTTTATTCCTACATAATGAATGGCGTGAATCATCATCTAATGTTTTAATATATAAGAGAATCACTACGGACATGGACAACTATTATATGGCTCCATAATTTGTAAGAGGATATAAGTGACTCCTTACGGAATGTTTCTTTTATATTCAAATAAAGATTATTTGTTGTTTTGATATAGATAAAATAACATTACTTGAATGAAGTCCACTGGATTAGTCAGAATTTATCTTAACAATGTATATATTAAGTACCTTTGTCTCTGAGTGGCTACCCACATATATCGATTAATATTGATTATACTTTTTGGGTGACTTCCGCAAAATAATCGGGATAAAATTTTCTCTTACCTTATTGATATATCCGAAAAGTTAGAAATGATAAGGTTTATAAGATGTGGATAGATTTAAAATATAAATGACTTTTAAAATAAGACCCATACTTTTCTCTAAGATGGTATTGTTTCCAAGAAGGCAATTAATAATTACTAATAGAGGGGCAAGATTTTACAACGAAGTGTTTTTCCTTTACATCTTGATGGAAGAGCTTATATAATTAAGCGATGTTTTTGTATGATTACACAATAGAAAACTGTGGTAGTTTTTGCAACAAATTGTGTGTAGCTATGAAAATAATATCTAACCTGGAAGAGTGGTCTCATTTTTAATCTATATAGAAAAATTTGTGAAGAGTAAAAAGATATTTATTTTTTCTTCTTTTTTATCCCACACACAAATAAAACAAAAACAAACTGTGTGTAACTGTAAAAATATTATCTATACTAAAAAGAAAAATTCTTGGGTTCACCTCTAGTGGTGAATTCCTTTGTTCACCCCCTTTAATTATAAGCAATCAAAATATATCATGTAATATTATTTTTAATTAAAATTAAAATTAAAATTTAAGAATTAAAATACTCATTCAAATCTTTTATTTTATATATATAAATAATACATATTTAATATTCCAAATTCAGGTTTGGGTTTAGGGATTAGGGTTTAGTTTTTATTTTTAATTTCTTTAAAGTTTAAAGATTTGGGTTAAGGATTTATGGTTTAGATTTTAGTATTTATTTTAAAAAAATTTCTTTAATTTATATATTATGGTTTAGGGTATAGGGATTAGAGTTCAATGTTTAAGAATTAGAGTTTAGATTTTTGTTTGTTTTATTAT